ACGACTGCGACGGAGTGGGGAGGGGTAAGGGTGCCAGGGCTTCGGTTCGTGGATTGAGGGGGGCCCAGAACTCCGACGTCTTGCTTTTTTTCACGAAGCGGACCCCCGTAGGTCCGGACCTCCTGCCGAGGACCCGCCTTTTTCATCCTGAGTCATTATGTTGATGGTCCCGGAGCCTGGTAAGGATCCCCATGGGCCGAAAATTGCCAAAAGCCAATCGCCTATTTTTTTCAATACGGGGAGCTGAATGAGGTTCGAAGATGTCGGGTTTTTCTCAGCTTTCGGCAGCTCATGTCATGTTTACGAGCAGGCTGAGCAGGGAGGCTTCCAGTGGCCTCTGGGCACGGAGCTCTCGAGGCCTTGGGGGGCTCTCCAGACATCTCCGGAGCTTTCCAGGGATCCTGCAGGACCTGGGGACTTCTACTAGGTGGAGGAAAGGAAAAGGATGAGGAGGAAGAAGAAGTGGCAGGGGAAGGAAGAGGACCAGGAGGAGGAGGAGGCGGAGGTGGAGGAGGAGGTGGTGGTGGAGGAGGAGGAGGAGGAGGAGGGAGGAGGGAGCAGGGAGGAGGGGGGGTCGTTGTCGCCGCCGCCGTCGTCGTTCTTATCGTATGTAGTCGTCGGTCGTCGTCTTCAGTCGTCGCCGTTGGCGTCGTTGTCCTATATACGCGGGCCTCTTAGTTTTCGTCGCTGTCTTCCACTTCCGCGTCTACCTTGGCTCAGGCAGCTCGCACTAGAGCCGCATGTCTCTAGATCGATGATCGAGTACGACGAAGGCCAATGGCATCTAGTCTTCCTGTTCCAGCTGAAGGGTTCTGTAGCTCACAAGGTGACGTGTCTCTCTTTTTGCATCCCTCTCTCGCTCTGTCGCTCTATCTCTTTCTATCTCCTCCCCGTTCGTCCTCTTTCTCTCTCTCTGTGTTTCTATATATATATATATATATATATATATATGTATCGCGCTCTTCTCTCTCTCTCTCTCTCTCTCTACAGGTATATCGGTGTATATTTATATGCACATGTATGAAATCGCGCTCTGTGGACGCTGGGAAGGCAGGCAGTCGAACTGGGCCCCCCCCTCAGATGCAAGAGGTGGGGGGGGGGGTTCGAACCGGCCCCCCCCCCCCCCCTCTGCCCAAGGGGTGGGGGGGGAGGTTCGACCTGACCCCCCCCTCTCTCTGTCCGAGAGGGGGGGGGGTTCGAACTGGCCCTTCTCTTCGCCCCCACCTCGGGTTGCACGGGGGGATGGGGGGGGCTTCGAACCGCCACCCCCCTTCCACCGACGACGGCGCGGCGAGCGCCGGCGCCGTTGGGCAGCGACGAGAGGGTCCCCCTCCCCTGCAACCGACGACGGCGAGCGCCAGCGCCGGGGCAGCGACGACGACGACGATGACGACGGTGGTGGTGTGGTTGATGATGAGGATGAGGATGAGGATGAGGATGATGATGATGATGATGAGGATGAGGATGAGGATGATGATGCTGATGATGATGATGATGATGCTGATGATGATGATGATGAGGATGAGGATGATGATGAGAATGAGGATGATGATGATGATGATGCTGATGATGATGATGATGATGATGAGGATGAGGATGATGATGATGATGATGATGAGGATGAGGATGAGGATGATGATGATGCTGATGATGATGATGATGGATGATGATGATGATGCTGCTGATGATGATGATGATGATGATGATGAGGATGAGGAGATGATGATGTGATGATGATGCTGATGATGATGATGATGATGATGATGATGATGATGATGATGATGATGATGATGATGATGAGAATGAGGATGAGGATGAGGATGAGGATGAGGATGAGGATGAGAGGATGAGGATGAGGATGAGGATGAGATGATGATGATGATGAGGAGGATGAGGAGGATGAGGGAGGGAGGAGGAGGAGGAGGATGAGGATGCGGATGAGGATGAGGATGCGGATGAGGATGAGGATGAGGATGAGGATGAGGATGAGGATGAGGATGAGTTTGAGGATGAGGATGAGGATGAGGATGCTGATGCTGCTGCTGCTGCTGATGATGATGATGATGATGATGATGATGATGATGATGCTGATGCTGATGCTGATGGTGCTGCTGATGATGATGATGCTGATGATGATGATGAGGAGGAGGAGGAGGAGGATGAGAAGGAGGAGGAGGAGGAGGAGGGAGAGGGATGATGATGAGGAGGAGAAGGAGGGGAGGGCGGAGCAAGGAGAGAGGGACGGGAGGAAAGGGAGGAGGCATTTCATATATACATATACGATGATGTTACGAGATACGTACATTTCCATATATTCGCATATCACTGAGAGATTCGTCTATCTTCCGTCCCGCCCGCCCGAACGGCGTCCCCCGAGGCTGCGACATATTTTGCCCCACTGCCGAGTACAGGCTGCATTAAATGTTCCGCCCGTCACCATCGCTGTCGCCGTCGCCGATTTCCGCAGAGCCTACATGAGCCGGAGGAGGAGGAAAAGGAGGAGTGGGAAGAGGAAGAGAAAGAGGAAGGGGAGGAGGAGGAGGAGGAGGAGGA